TAGTTTCTAGAACAGGTTCAATGCCCCCACTGCATTGGGAAAGTCTGCCTCAAGGGGCCCTGCTTGCTCCATCCGAAGCAGCAAAATCCACTCTCATTGACATAGCTGCATGACGAAAATCACGTCAATTTGTTCTCAGAGAAGATTCATCTGCCACTTCTGGATACAAGACTCGGGTTAAACTTTTTCTCACGGGCGGATCCACCAAGAATTGTGTGATTGGTTATGTGGCAAAATGGTGTTTGACCCTTCCCCTCTTTTGCACCAGTATAATCAGGTGCACACTATTGATTGATGGGCGGGGCTGGTGCCTTTATAGCTGGGCAGGTAGCCCCACTGTGTGTGTGTTGTTTTTGTTCCGGTGGCGCATCAGCTGGCAGATGATGGCAGGAGATAACGCTCTCTACAACAGACTTATAGAATATATGCAACATCTTGCTGCAAACACTGAAGGACTTCAGCTTCCTCAAGAATTACAGTCTGCTCTGTCCCTTCTTGTAGACGGCTTCACTGTTGCATTTCCAGTCCAGTCTGTTGTCCAGGTGAACCCCAAGTATTTATACTTCTCCACCACCTCCACTTCTTCTCCCATGATGGAAATAATGTTGAACCTGTTCCTGTTTCTCTTGAAATCTACAATCATCTCCTTTATTTTGTTCACATTCAAGATGAGATAATTGTTTCCACACCATGCCACAAAGCGGTCCACCAGTTCCCTGTACTCAGCTTCTTGTCCATCTCTGATACACCCGACCACTGCAGAGTCATCTGAATATTCTGCAGATGACAGGAGTCTGTTTTGTACTGGAAATCTGAGGTGTACAGAGTGAAAATTAATGTTGAGAGTACAGTCCCCTGTGGTGCTCCTGAGCTACTGACCACCTGGTTGGACACACAACCCTTCAGTCTCACAAACTGTGGTCTGTTCGTCAGGTAGTCTTTGATCCAGGTGATTGTTGAAGCCTCCACCTGAGTCTTCTGGAGTTTCTGACAAAGCAAACCAGGCTGGATTGTGTTAAATGCACTGGAGAAATCAAAGAACATGACTCTCACAGTGCTGTCTGACTTTTCTAGATGACAGTGAGTTTGCTGAAGCAGGTGCATGATGGCATCTTCAACTCCAAGTCCACGCTGATAAGCAAACTGCTGTGGGTCCTGATGTGTGCTTGTTTGTCTAGTCAGGTGGGCCAGCAGAAGTCTCTATAGGACCTTCATGATGTGGGATGTCAGGGCAACAGTCATTGAGGACTGATGGGTGAGTTTTCTTTGGTACTGGAACAAGGCAGGAGTTTTTTTCAAAACACTGGAACTTTCTCCTGGGTCAGGCTAAGGTTGAAGAGGTGCTGCAGAACCCCACAGAGCTGCTCTGCACAGACCTTCAGGACTCTGGGACTGACACCATCTGGACCTGCAGCCTTATTCTGGTTCAGACGGGTCCATGACCGTGGTGGTAGATAAAATATTTGAGGTGTGACAGGACAGCCTTGGGTCAAAGGAGGGTGGGATGTCTGTTTAAGTTCAACTTTATATGTCAGGAGATACATTGTTGATGTTATTATTAAAATGCACTTTCAGTGAAGTAAGTATTGGCAAAGCTCAATGCAATTTTTATGATGAGGTGGCGGAGGGCTGTTCTCAGCAGCTGTTGAAATTAACTAATAAAGTAACTTGTAATCTAACTTAGTTACTTTCCAAATCAAGTAATCAGTAACGTAACTAAGTTACTTTTTCAGTGCAACTATGACTGCATATATATATATATATATATATATATATATATATATATATATATTTTATTTATTTTTTTTTTAACAAGTAAAAATAAAATGATATTTAAAAGAAAATGTAACAAAAAAAATAGCTAGGTTGTAAGGTGTTGTAGAAAACTAATAACAAGAACATGTCTGCATTGTTTTTCCCCCCCAGGAATTTAACAAATGTTTAGAGAGGTATATGTATGAGGTACTGTATTTCAATGGTTCCCAACCTCAAAGCCCCCCCCCCCCCCCACACACACACACACACAATTCCTACATGAATGATATGATAAATAAATAAAAACACAATTTAAAACAAAAGAATATAAGTAATTAAAAACAAGGTATCCTAAACCATAAAATACCGCACACCAAAGTTGTCGTGCGTCAGAACAGTTCCGTCGGAGCTCTTATTTTGAAGGTTAGCTGATGATAACAGAAGTGATTACCTCCCAGCACCGGAAGCTGTTTGGTTCGTACGTTCATTGTGTTCTCAATGTTACCTACCGACGAACTAAGCCACTTTTCTCTCGACTTCTGGTGAAATTAGTTTAGTTTTGAGTTCTATTCAGCTGTAACTACTCGGTTAATGTAAATAGTGATGAACGAAAGCTAACAGATGTGGAGACAGCAGGTCCAGCAGCACCTGGATGCAGAGGAAGAAGAAATGGAGGTTTTCCTTGGAAGTAGATATGCTCTTGAACAGGAAACAACTGGAGGAAGCCAAATATTAGATGCAGCTTTCAGTCGCAACGATCAACTGCATATAATAAGTTTGTATCTGTTTATTATTTCTGTTGAATGTGATTATGTTACAGTTTAGTCTGAGCTTTCTGGTAGCTGATGAATTTATCTTCCTGGAAAGGACATGTGTAACTCTGTTTATAGCTGAGCTTGCTAACAGATTAAATAATATCTGAGAGGTTACAAACCCTAAAGTGCAGATTTTAAAACCCTTTGATAAACTAAATTTTTACATTTTTAATTGTACTACATAAAAGCTAACTATTGAAACCCCAAATTACCACACATATATTTAAAATCATTGATAATGAGCAAAACCAGGTACAGGTATTGTTTCCACTCTCCTGGAGGTGGGTGTGAAGTAGAATGTAGGGATCTTGGGAGGAGGAGAGAGTGTTGAGGCACCACCTTTTTTGTTTCTTCTTTATTTTCAAAGACCGTTTAGGAACCATCTCTAGCACCAGCCTGGTTAAACACTTGAAATGTTTATTTTAAAAGAAAACAACACATTTAAACAGTTTGTACTGAGTTGGTGGGGTGTTAAAGCCACAGCTTAAAGTGTTGTAAAATGAAAGAGCTGGGGCTAAGCTCTCTTTGGCTCTGGTTTAGCACTGGAACCTGTTTGGAGGAGAAAAAATAACTGATCTGTCTGAAAATTGTTGGATTGTATACCTGGATTATTGAGCATGGACTTTGTTGGTCTGATCTGAGCAGTAAAACAAATCATGTATGTGTGAATATAAAGCTACAGTTCTCCTTACTGTATTTTACATGTGTTCCAGTGGTTCCTGCAGATGTTCAGAAGTCAGTGCTGATTAAAGAAGAAGCTCCTGAAGAACAGTGGCCTGATGTGGACCAGCAGGACACAAATTGTGTCCACATAAAAGAGGAAGAGGAGGAACCGTGGACCATTTTGGGAGGAGAACAGCTCAGTATGAAGGAGGAGACTGATGTCACCAGCTTTTCATTAACTGCAGTTCCTTTTAAGAGTGAGGATGAAGATGAGAAACCTCTGTTCTCACAGCTTCATCAACACCAAGTTGAAGTCGGTGATCTTCCAACCAGCAGCTCAGGTGATCACATTGAATCATCAACTGGTGACGGAGAAAAAGATACAAAAAAGCCAGATCTAAATGCTTATAGAGATGATTCTGATTCTTCAGAAACTGAAGTTAGTGAAGATGATGAAGATGATAATGATGTGAACAATCCTGAGTCTCAGCTGAAACTTTTTTCAGACTTTGGGTTAAAAACTGAAGACACTGATGAAGACTGGGAGTCTTCACCCAGCAGGGTTTCTGAGTCAAGTGTGAACAGTGTCCACAACAAAAATGGACTGAAGCCATTTTGTTGCGATCTGTGTGAAAAAAGGTTTAGCGTAAAGGGCAATTTAACCAGACACATGATGATCCATACAGGACAAAAGCTCTTATGTGATCTGTGTGAAAAAAGGTTTATTGACAAGGCCAGTTTGAAAAAACACATGAAAATCCACACTGGACAGAAACCATTTTATTGTGATCTATGTGGCCGACAGTTTAAAAGAAGAGGCTGTTTAAATAGACACATGATAATCCACACAGGACAGAAGCCATTTTGTTGTGATCAGTGTAGTAAAAAGTTTACCCAAAATGACAATTTAAAAAAACATATGATGATCCACACAGGACAGAAGCCATTTTCTTGTGATCAGTGTAGTCAAAAGTTTACGCAAAATTACAATTTAAAACAACATATGATAATCCACACAGGACAGAAGCCATTTTCTTGTGATCTATGTGAAAAAAGATTTACTCAAAATAGTCATTTAAAAAAACACATGGAAATCCACACAGGACAAAAGGCATTTTGTTGTGATTTTTGTGACCAAACGTTTACTGAAAAGGCCAGTTTGAAAAAACACATGATAATTCACACAGGACAGAAGCCCTTTTCTTGTGATCAGTGTGAGAGAAGGTTTATTCAAAAGGGCCATTTAAACAGACACATGAGATATCACAGGGGAGAGAAGCCATTTTCTTGTGATCTGTGTGAAAAAAGGTTTACTGAAAAGACCAGTTTGAAAAAACACATGAAAATCCACACTTGTGAGAAAAAGTAATTTGAAAGAACTCTTAGGCAAGAAGCCTCTCACACTCACTAATATATTAAAAAAACATTTTTTTACATGCCTTAATCTGGTGATGAATAACATAATTTCAACATAATTTCACTAGTTTTAACTGAGAAATATTTATCTGTTTCCCAAACACTCAAAATTTATTTCCACTCAACTGTTACGCTTTCCCCTTGTAAAGTACATTCACAGTCTGCAGTTGCAAGTATATAAGAATCGTCAGTGTACCTGTTTAATACTGAATAAATATAAAGTTATGCATATCAACCAATTTTTTTATTTTTAGTCTATATTTTGTTTGTATCACAACAAAAAATTTGGACACTAAATAGGGAGATAAGGGCTTGAATCAACTGGCAAAACAGAGGGATCAGGCTTGAAAGGATGTGCAGCAGGTTAGGGTTGGTATAAGTATAAATTACAATGTTCTAACAAGGGAGGAGAGGGATTGAAATGTTTAAGGAGTAGTTTCTAGAACAGGTACAATACCCCCACTGCATTGGGAAAGTCTCTGCCTCAAGGGGCCCTGCTGCTTGCTCAATCCAAAGCAGCAAAATCCTCTCTCATTGACATAGCTGCATGACAAAAATTGCGTCATTTTGTTCTCAGAGCAGATTCACCTGCCCCTTCTGGATACAAGGCTGAGGTTGAACTTTTTCTCAGAGGCGTATCCGCCAAGAATTGTATGATTGGTCAGAAGTTTTTGGGCATGTTCGTCAAATTGGAAATGTTCTCAGACATTCAAATGTACGACTACAAAATTAGTCAAATGGTCAAAAACTATTCAATGGAGATCGCATAGACATCGTGTATGTCAACTGTTTGACTGAATAGATGGATAGATAGCTTTATTTGTCCCCGTAGGGAAATTGGTTTGCAGCATTTACATAAAGACATACAGGTTCATATACAAACATGACATTAACATCCATCATTACAGCAAAGAAGTTTGAGCTCATTAATTTATGACACCTTTTTATTGTTTAATTATTTAATCGCTTGTGGTGTGAAAGAAAATGTTGTCCTGTTTCTTGAGAATAAAGGAAGTGTGGCCCTGTTGTGTAAAAAAAGGTTTACTGAAAAGGGTAGTTTAATAAAACATGAAAATCCACACAGGAGAGAAGCCCTTTTCTTGTAATCTGTGTAGTCAAAAGTTTACACAGAATTACAGTTAAAAAAACATGATAATCCACACAGGACAGAAGCTGTTTTCTTGTGATTTTTGTGACCAAATATTTACCAATAAGGCCAATTTAAACAAGCACATGAGAATTCACACGGGAGAAAAAGTAATTTGAAAGAACTCAGGCAAGAAGCCACACACTTAATATATTTAAATGTTTTTTTACATGGTAAAATGGTGATGGACAACATAATTTCACTAGTTTTAACTGGGAAACATTTATCTGTCTGCAACACACCCATATAAAATTTATTTCCACTCATTTGTTATGCTATTTCTTTGTAAAGTACATAACATGCACATATTGCAGTTGTAAGTATATAAGAATCTTCAGTGTACCTGTTTAATACTGAATAAATTATAAATTTATGCATACCAACCAATTTTTAATTTGTAGTCTATATTTTGTTTGTATCACAACAAAGAGTTTGGACACTAAAGAGGGAGATAAGGGCTTGTTTCAACTGGAAAACAGAGGGATCAGGCTTGAAAAGATGTGCATCAGGTTAGAGTTGGTATAAGTAGAAATGACAATGTTCTAACAATGGAGGAGTGTGATTGAAATGTTGAAGGAGTAGTTTCTAGAAAAAGGTTCAGTGCCTGCGTTGGGAAAGTCTTTGCCTCAAGGTCCCTGCATGCTCCATCTGAAGCAGCAAAATCCACTCTCACTGACGTAGCTGCATGATAAAAATCACGTCATTTTGCTCTCAGAGCAGATTCACCTGCCCCTTCTGGATACAATCGTGTTGTAGAGACTTTGTGTTTTGAAAATAAACACCCCCAAAACACAATGTCCTAGTGGCTTTTAAACCCCAAAATACATTACGGCAAAGACTGGTTCATCCCAAAGATCCAGTCCCCCGGCACAAACAGAGTAATGTTGTGTATGCTGTTCAGTGTCAGGAGGGCTGTGATCAGTCTTACATTGGGGAAACAAAACAGCCACTGGCCAAAAGGATGGCCCAGTACAGAAGATCAACACCATCAGGCCAGGACTCTGCGGTCTACACTCATCTCCAGGCCAGCGGTCACTCTTTCAGGGATGAAGATGTTCACATCCTGGACAGAGAGGAACGATGGTTTGAGAGAGGAGTAAAGGAGGCCATCTTTGTGAAAAGAAACCGTTCATCATTAAACAGGGGTGGAGGCCTCCGGGTTTAACTGTCCCCCTCTTACAATGCTGCTATTGCTAGTATCACTCAGCCTCCTGTGAACAGTAAACAGACATCAATGTGCTAATGATCCATTGTTAGGCTGATGGTCCTTCTTGATCATGTGAGCAGCTGGTTGTGGTTGTCAGCAGCAAACTGGTTGATCTACTCTGAGAAGGAAATAAACGCTGTATTAATGCGTGTGTAGTAGAATGTTGTATGAATGTATAAGACTGAGCTGAATACAGCACCTCAGACTGAGGAAGTCTTTCGGATGAAAGACGAAACGTTTCTACATTTTTTTTGCTTTGTTTTGTTTTTTGAATGTCCACAGGACCAGATTTAACTTTTTTAGATTTTTCTACCTGGATTGTTGAGCATGCATCAGGACAATTATGTTCTTGTTTTTAGTGTTTCACCCTGTTTTAAGGCACCCTGATTCATTGTTTCATAGACTAAGTCCTGTGACCGTCTATATTTAAATAATATTCATGATATTAGTAGTCAGATGTTCCTTTTTATTCCTTATAGGAAGTAGAGAGCCAACAGAAACCGTTTGGCCTATTTCCATAATAATCATGATTACTGGTCAGATTTTACTTTTTATTTTTTTGGTGGAAGTTGAGAATCAGCAGACAAAGTTTGCTTCAGCAAAGACCGTTTGTTCGGCTTTTTCCTTAATTTTCCTCAAAGCCCCCACCCCCCACTTCTTACTTCCTATATGACTGATATGATAAATAAAATTATAAAAACATAATTTAAAAACAAAAGAATATAAGTGATTAAAAAAACAAAGTATCCTAAAGCATGAAAAAAACGCAAACAGCTCTGGGGGCTAAAGAACGTAGTGCTGAAGAACGGTTCCGTTCGAACTCTTATTTTGAAGGCTAACTGATAATAACGGAAGTGATTTCCTCTTAGCAGCGGAAGCTGTTTAGTTCGTACGTTTATTGTGTTCTCCCTGTTCGGTATCAACGAACTAAGCCTCTTTTCTCTCGACTTCTGGTGAAATTAGTTTGAGTTCTATTCAGCTGTAACTACTCGGTTAATGTTGAAGGTAAATAGTGATGAACGAAAGCTAACAGATGTGGAGACATCAGGTCCAGCAGCACCTGGATGCAGAGGAAGAAGAAATGGAGGTTTTCCTTGGAAGTAGAGATGCTCTTGAACAGGAAACAACTGGAGGAAGAAAAATCATAGATGCAGTTTTCAGTCCCAACGATCAACTGCATATAATAGGTTTGTATCTTTTTATTCTTTCTGTTGAATGTGATTATGTTACAATTTAGTCTGAGCTTTCTGGTAGCTAATAAATTTAGCTTCCTGGAAAGGACATGTGTAACTGTTTATAGCTGAGCTTGCCGCGATTTGAGCTTGCTGTCTCTCAAAGAGATTTAAGAAAAAAACTCTCAAAATGAGGTGAAAACGTCATGATCCACTGTTTCTTTGTTTTTTCTGATCCTGCTTCAGTTTCAAATGCAAAAATAATCCCAAACAGATATTTGAATTCAAAGACAAGACTTTCTTATTAATTTTATTACACTAAATATCTAATAATCACCTTCATGTTAAAAATTTCAGACTCTAAGAATGCTCTAGTCTTATAATAATAATAATGTCATCACAATGTATGTAATGTAACTGTATGTTTCCATACAATGGTGAAATTAGTCTCTGCATTTAACCCACCCACCATCAGGTGGTGCAGTGGGCAGCTATTGAAAGCGCCTGGGGGGCATTTTGGGAATGAGGTGTGCTGCCCAGAGACACCACGCGGTATGCAGTGACTGGGGATCGAACCTGGGACTTTCGGGTCCCAAGCTGGCTGCCCTGCCTCTACACCATCTCAGCCCACATAAATAAATAAGCTCCTCCTTAAAAGGCTACTGAAGTAATTCATTAAAATAAGATGTTGATTATAATCTTGACATCTTGAAAATAAGATAAGTAAGACATCTGGAAAATAAGATGTTGAGATGATTAAAGTAAGATTAAAATAATTATCCATGATGCTGAGTTCATTCGTCCTCATTTGCTCACTTTTGTTTGTGCTGCTCTTGTTGGCACATTGTTTTGTACTATTAGTGCTTAGTGTAATATTAGTTTAGCATATTAGTTCATGTCTTGGATCTTATTACAGTTTTTCTTTACAAGTTGTACTTTTGTTTAAAGTGTTGTAAAAGGAAAGCTGGGGCCAAGCACTCTTTGGCTCTGGTTTAGCACTGGAACCTGTTTGGAGGAGAAAAAACACTGCGACGTGAGCAGTTAAACAAATCGTGTGTGAATATAAAGCTACAGTTCTCTTTAATGTATTTTACATGTGTTCCAGTGGTTCCTGCAGATGTTCAGAAGTCAGTGCTGATTAAAGAAGAAGCTCCTGAAGAACAGTGGCCTGATGTGGACCAGCAGGATGCAAATTGCCTCCACATAAAAGAGGAAGAGGAGGAACAGTGGACCATTTTGGGAGGAGAGCAGCTCAGTATGAAGGAGGAGACCGATGTCACCAGCTTTTCATTAACTGCAGTTCCTTTTAAGATTGAGGATGATGAAGAGAAACCTCTGTTCTCACAACTTCATCAACACCAAGTTAAAGTCTGTGATCTTCCAACCAGCAGCTCAGGTGACCACATCGAATCATCAACTGGTGACGGAGAAAAAGATACAAAAAAAACAGATCTAAGTGCTTATAGAGATTCTGATTCTTCAGAAACTGAAGTTAGTGAAGATGATGAAGAGGATAATGATGCGAAAAATCCTGAGTCTCAGCTGAAGCTTTTATCAGACTTTGGGTTAAAAACTGAACACACTGATGAAGCCACGGAGTCTTCACCCAGCAGGGTCTCTGAGTCAAGTGTGAACAGGGTCCACAATGAAAATGGACTGAAGCCATTTGGTTGTGATGTTTGTGGGAGAAGGTTCAGTCTTAAGAGACGTTTAACCAGACACATGAAAATCCACACAGGACAGAAACCATTTTCTTGTGATATGTGTGAAAAAAGGTTTAGCGTAAAGGGCAATTTAACTAGACACATGATGATCCACACAGGACAGAAGCCATTTTCTTGTGATCTGTGTGAAAAAAGGTTTACTGAAAAGGGTGGTTTAAAAAAACACCTGATAATCCACACAGGACAGAAGCCCTTTTCTTGTGATCTGTGTGAAAAAAGGTTTACTGTAAATGGTAGTTTAAAAAAACATATGATAGTCCACACAGGACAGAAGCCCTTTTCTTGTGATCTGTGTGAAAAATGTTTTACTGAAAAGGGTAGTTTAAGGAGACACTCGATAATCCACACAGGACAGAAGCCATTTTCTTGTGATCTGTGTGAGAAAAGGTTTACTGAAAAGGCCAGTTTGAAAAAACACATGATAATCCACACTGGACAGAAACCATTTTGTTGTGATCTATGTGGCCGACGGTTTACAAGAAGGGGCTGTTTAAAGACACATATGATAATTCACACAGGA